AGAAAAAGAAATAAATTTGCCGTTTTTAAAATTTATCAGTTAGTTTAATTTATTCAGAATGTGTTATTTGAATTTGCTAAGAGTTTATGTTTATGTTTAGATACGATTTTCATATTTTCAAATTTAGATTTATAAATATTGCAGTTATTTGATTATTAAAAAAAATCTTTTTATATAGTTCCGCATTTAAAATAAGGAAAAGTGAGTTTTTGGTAACGTTTCGGTGTTTATAAAAAAAAAAAAATTGGGGCGTTACATGATAAGTATAAGGATATTAGAAATACCTTAGAATATGGTAGAAATGACCTAACTGTTGAAATTATTCATGACTACCTTAAGAATAGAAATACCTTAGAATATGGTACTTCAGCCATTGCTGCTTCCTATAAAAGGGAAAAGAACACTGATATTAGGGTAGAATATATCTCTTTACTTGAAAGACTTGAACAAGATTGGGTTCTTGATTCAGGTTGCCCCTTCCACGTGAGTCCCAATATCAACTGGTTTTCTGATTTCTCAAATCTTAGTGATGGGTTTGTAGAACTAGAAAACAATGAATCTTGTCAAGTAAAAGGAGTTGGTAACATTGTTCTAAAACTGAAAAATGGACAAGTTCTAAAGCTGAATCATACTAGGTGTGTCCAAGCGTTAAGAAGGAATCTTATTTCTTTGGGGGTCCTAGATGATGAAAAATATCAAATTAAGATCAATAGTGGTTTTACAAACATAATCAGAAATCAGACCCTTATAATCAGTTCACCCAAAATTAATGGCATCTATACTATAAAACCTAACTATATTATTCAAAACACTAATGTGAATTTAGTTGCACACTCTGATAAGTTAGAACTGTGGCACAGAAGGTTAGGTCAACTAAGTGAAAAGGGCCTAAAGTTCCTCTCAAAGGCAGGTGCCTTTGGAAGAGACATTGTTCAAAAGTTGACCTTTTGTAAACATTGCATTATGGGAAAACAGAATAGGATGCCCTTCAAACTTGGTGTACATAAGTAACAAAATATACTTGAATACATTTATAGTAATTTGTGGGGGTCTGCACCTGTATCTATTGCATCAGGCTATAGATATTATCTCCTTACTATTGATGACTATTCTAGGAAAGTCTGGACTTTCTTGTTAAAGTCAAAATCTGAGACCTTCTCAGTCTTAAAGGATTGGAAAATTTTGATAGAAAATCAAACAGGTAAGAAGACCAAAGTATTGAGAACTGACAATGGATTGGAGTTCTGTAATACTGAATTTGATTAGTATTGCAGTACTCATGGAATATTAAGATATAGAACTGTGACTTATACCCCTTAACAAAATGGTATTGTTGAGAGGATGGATAGAACCATTCTTGAAAGAACTAGGTGCATGCTGATTAGTTTAGGACTTCCAAAAATTTTCTGGGGAGAGGCAGTAAAAACTGCCTATTATCTGATAAACATGTGCCCCTCCATTTCACTAAATAATAGGTGCTACAGCAAACTGTTCCTGATTATTCTCATTTAAAAACATTTGGGTGTGTAGCCTATGCTCACCAAGTTGATTCTAAGTTTGACTCAAGATCCTTGAAATGTGTTTTTTTGAGTTATGGGGAATGGGTAAAAGGCTATAGACTCTGGCTAAAAGAAGGTAAAGGGTTTAAGGTGATTATAGGCAAATCAATTGTTTTTAATGAAGATGTTTTCCCATATCTTGGTGACATTAATGGAGATAAAATAACTGACAATGATTTTGTTATGACCGAAATTGAATTTAAAAGTAAGAATACACTTGAACAGATATAAATTGAGGTGGAGACACCTCAAACTAAGAACCAGGATGTTATAAATGGTGAAGATTTAGATAATCCTTAGGAATTAGAACCTGAATATGACCTGCAGGAGTATCAGTTGGCCATATATAGAGAGAGAAGAACCATTAGACCTCCTTCTAGGTATCAATATGTAGATTACGTGTCTACACAAGTAGAATCTGATCATTTTAACGAGGAACGTGAATGTTATGAAGAAGCTAATACTTCTAAAGATTTCGCCAAATGGCTTGCAGCCATGCAAGATGAGATGAGTTCTCTATATATAAAAAAACTTGGAATTTAGTAGTTAAACCCAAAGATTTCAAGTTAATTGTTTGTAAATGGGTTTACAAGATTAAAGAACCAAAATATAAATCAAGTGACAAAAGATACAAGGCAAATCTTGTAGCTAAAGGGTTCAAACAGAGAGAGGCTATAGACTACATAGAAATATTATCATTAGTAGTCAAATATACTTCAATAAGGATATTACTTGCACTTGTACCACTTTTTGACCTATAGCTAGAGGAATTAAATGTCAAAACTGCCTTTCTGTACGGCTCTTTAGATGAAACAATATATATGTCACCGCCAAAAGGTTTTGAGGTTAAAGATAAAGAATACGTAGTGTGTCTACTATATAAGTCCTTATATGGCCTCAAATAGGCCCCGAGACAATGGTATAAAAAGTTTGACTCTTTTATACAAGAATTAAAATTCAGAAAATCTAAGTATGATCCCTGTTTTTATTTCAAAAGAAATGGAAAATCTGAATTCTTTTATCTACTTTTATATGTGGATGATATGCTCCTAGCTGGTCACGATTCTGATACATTGAACTCTATAAAAGAAAAATTAAAGTTTGAATTCGAGATAAAAGACTTAGGGCTTGCTAGGAAAATTTTAGGAATGGAAATAAAAAGGGATAGATAAAATGGAAAATTGTTTTTAACTTAAAAAGACTATATTGAAAAGGCTGTTAAACGATTTTCTTTGCATGAAGCCAAACCTGTTAGCTTAACTTTGTCTGCAATTAAATTGTCCATTGATCAATCACCTAAAAATGAAATTGAACTTAAAAGAATGTTGCATGTACCATATGCTAATGCAGTTGGATCTGTTATGTTTATTATGGTATGCTCTAGGCTTGATATAGCCTATGCCGGGGTGTTTTAAGTAGATTTATGAAAAATTTAATTAGATACTTGAAAGGCACACAGAACCTAGGACTTATGTTCAAAACTAATAAAAATAGTGTAAGTTTGAAAGGCTATGTGGACTCTGATTTTGTTGGAAATTTTGATAATAAGAAGTCAACCACTACATTTTTCTATGGAATAAATGATACTTGCATTAGTTGGAAAGCTCAACTACAGAAACTTGTGGCTCTATCTTTTACTGAGGCATAATACATTGCTGCTACAAAAGCAGTAAAAGAATAAATATGGTTAATGGGTCTATTAAATGAATCAAATATTAGGAAATCAGGTGAAGCTATGTTCTGATAATCACAGTGCAATTTTCTTAAGTAGAAATCATGTCTTCACAACAAAACAAAATATATAGACATTAAGTTTCATTTCATAAGGGATATAAATCTGGTTAAAATTCCTACTAAGATTAATCCAACAGATTTAGGTACAAAGGTAATACCTATTAGTAAATTTTTTGATTCTTTAAAATTATTGAATCTTGAAGTTTACCAATTCTCTTATTTTGAAACGGCAAAACATTTTCTCTCTTCTGTAACTAGGTTTTGCTCCCTTTTTTGGGTGCTGTGATAGTGGATTTGAGCTTAATCGTTATAGATGTTTAACGGGGGATGTAGGCATTTGATTTGGTCGTCAAACCTTCGGGACCTTTGGCCGAAAGGTCTTTGTGTTCTTTATTTTCTTGTCATTTACATTTTGTATTTTACTGAAATTTATTCGAGTCACAAAAGCGTTCGTATCACTGGGATCGACAGTTAGTTTATTTGTTGTTTTAGAAGGTTATTATTAAAAAAATATATTAATGAAAAAATTCACAATTTTTCTCCCACTTCTAATATGTTTTTGGATTCCTTGGAATTTTGTTCTCCTTTTCCTGGTGGTATCAAAATGTTGCTATGTCGAGACATCTTATCGATTTCTCCAGGAAAATGGATATCTCCAGAAAAGATTTTAAGTTCAATTCTTTTTTTTTTTTTCCCTCTCCACTCGGACAAACCTGCCTATTCGGCTTCTAATATTTAGGCCTTGTTTGGAAGTGATTTTTCACCTCAAAAAATTGATTTTTTTTTACCATTATTTCACTATTCCTGCCGTAATTTTTGACTTCTTCTCTTACATGTGGTTCCCACTTTTTTTCTAATGGTCAAAAAATCAATTCTCAAAATCACTACCGAACAGACTTTTGAAGTAATTTGTGCCGTGTGGAGGTAGAAGGCCCACGGGTCGTGAACTTCTTTTCTTGGAGAAGAAGCAATGACAATATCTGAGGAATAAGTATCGGTTAACTCTGTGCTAGCAGCTGGCTCAAGTAGGTACACCAAATAAAGAAAGGAGTTCTCGCTTGCAAATTCAAGAAAACCCCAATACAAAAGGATAAAATATGGCAAAAGCTATATCGAGAATTGGTTCACGTAGAAATGGACATATTGGTTCATGTAAGAGTGCACGTAGAATATCAAAGGGGGTTATTCATGTTCAAGCAAGTTTCAATAATATCATTGTCACGATTATAGATGCACGGGGTCGGTCTCAGTTCTTGAACTATTGTTGTATGTTGTCCAAACATTTAAAATTGTCTATACATTTTGAAACGATATTTTAAACTTTTTTGTCGTAATTTTGTCGCATGTAGCCTAAACATTTAAAATTGTCTAGTCAATTGTCGCTCATATATGACCTAACATTTTTTATAAACGGCATTTTTAACTTTTCATGATCGCCATTGTCTGCTTATTTCCGCGCCACCCTCATCTATCAACGTATGCAAAATAGATACATTTTACGAAACAATAAATTCATACTATATATAAATACCAAGATATGTGAACAATGTGTATATTTTAGAATCACATAATTTCCCATAGCCCAAAATTCTAAATAAAATGAAACCAAAATGTATAAATAAAATCTCACTAATATCTATGAAGATTTATTGGCAAGTTCTATTGATTTAATGAGGCTTGAAAAGTTGAACAGCAAGGCATATACAAAAATGTCTCTTTCTCTCTGGTAAGTGGCGCGTGGATGATTCGGTGTCAATACGCCCGAAGCTCCGCCCATCGTTCTCTTCTTCCCTATGTCACCATTTCACCGTTACTCAGTATATAAACTTCTACGCACTCAAACTCCTTATTCAATCCCAGATATTCAGTTTTTCACTCTAATTCAAACAATGGTAATCTGCTCTTCTGAATACTGTCAAAATAAGTAACTTATTTTGCGTATTAGACTTTCAATTTAAGCTGCAATGTTGCATTATGTTTCTGTTTGTAAGTTCTTTGCAGGGTCTCAGGATGGTGGTGTTTAACTCGCTGGTGAAAACTATAGGCGCACTGGTGTCTCAGCCAGTCGCCACCGTTGGGACACTGTTGTATTACGGTGATGTCCTCCCCCGTGACCTCTACGTGCGGCGGATGGAGATTCGCCGTGAATTGCATGATCAGCCAGGAAATTTTTTATTCCATTTTCTCTCCTGTTTCTTCAAGTGTTTTCTGTGAGTCGCCCGTCCCGCTGTCCTAAATAATTCCTCAGGCGGTTTTGTGTAGCTAGTAGTCTCCTGTCGTGATTTACTATAATAAAATCACCTGACATAATAATTGTCGTTTTTTTATTTACTATATCTTGTCATTTTATGCATTATTATTATTATTATTATTATTATTATTATTTTGGATGGATTTCTAATCACGAATAAATAATGTGCTTATTAAATTGAAAAAAGTTAATAGTATTCTTTATTCGGATTTCTTTTTTACGTACATAAACTTGGACCACCATTTAGTAAAATATGTAATTTTGTAGTTTAAAAAAAAAATCTTTAATTAAATATGATTTTACAAATCTTAAATTTCAGTTTTATTTCACATCTATAATTTGAATTTCAGAATATAAATTCAATTTTTTTTTTATTCCAATTCAAATCTAACTTTAATTCGATAACATGCATAATATCATATTGAATTTCGATAATGCGAACAAAAAGTTTCATGTCTCTCTCTACATGCACGTATACTTATGTAATAAGAGAAATTCGCGAAGAGTTTCATATATCTTAGTGTCCTGTTGAAATGTTATTACTCGAACAAAGAGCCAATAAAATTTTAGAACGTCATTTATTGCAAATTTCTCTTATCCAAATTTTCTAATTCTGAATCCTTTTATCAATCAAGCTACTTCTACAATTTTTTTTTTTTTTAATGCAATCTTAGTTGAAATCATGTTTGGTAACATCACATTCATCCATTTCAAAACTATTTTTAAAATTAATAATCCAGATCATGACGACATCAATGTTGTCATCCATCATTGTCGACCGCAGTTGTACAAATAGATTAGTTCATCCTTTTATTGTTACTTATTGCTTGCACAATTTGTTACCTAAAGTCTTTTAATTAAACTACTTGTACAAAGTAGTTTGACAAAAATAGTTGACAAAGTGTGTGTTGACAAGATCAAGATCAATAGATTTTGTTGCTTTCAAAAACTGTTTTTAAATTAAGTGATCTTGATTTTGTCAATAACCACTTTATCAATTTTTTTATAAATATACTTTGTAAGCATAGCATCACTCAAAATCTTTAATTACTCAACAAAAACATATTAGATCACAACATTGTATTTTTTCCAAAAAGTCACGTACCAAAAGGTGATGAGTGAAGGTAGTAGTTGCGGCGGTCGGTGCTGAATGCGTACGAACGTCATGATTCTGCATTGTTTTGTTATATAAATGTTCCAATTTCATAATATATATTTTTCTAATATTTTTAAAAAAAAATTAATATTGATGTACAACTTTCTTAATAGGACAATATTACATATACATAATTCTTTTATCTAATCATTTAACTACTATTCACAATAAGGTACGAGGACCACATTTGAAAATTTTTATATTCACATGGGGTCTACGTACATTGTGAGAAGGAAGACAACTTTCGATACCTCCAACTCAATACAAATAGAATTATTCTTTTTAATACGCACCTGGTTAGTACATCTATTCTCATATGAAACCAAAAATTAAAAGAAAAAAAAAGTTTACAACGGAGAAGAGTGAATAATAACATTCACAATCAGTCTTCAAAATTCTACAAAATTCCTCCTGTTTCGGACTAAAGTTTTTCCCCTAGTGACGAATTATGGCGAAATTGTGTGTTTGGCCTCTATGTTTGCCAATTTTTTTTACTCACATTTTCATAAATTGTGGTCCCCACGTCTGGAACTGGTGCATCGATTTCCACTTATGGCTGCCTTTTTTGACTTTTCCTTGGAGTGGTCCACATAAAATTCACCCAATATTCCAACATTGCCATTTACATGTTATTAATGGACTTGGCTTGGTTAGGGTAATTTAGTCCAATCAATTTCCAACGATCCAATGGGCAACTTGAAGCCTGACACTGCAGTTAAACTTTTGCATTGTTCATAAAAAAAAAAAACAAAAACAAAAAATAGCAAGAATGGAGCCAAACACACGCTGAATTTTTTTCACCATGCAGCGATTATTTAGGCCCCGTTTGAGTCACATTATTATAAAAATGAGAATGAAAAATATAGTTATTATGGATCCCACACAAGAGATAGATTTTCAAATATGATAACTTGATATGATGGATAATGATCATATTTTTTATTTTAATGAGTAAATAATAGGATATAAATGGGGGCTTAGACAAAAATAATGATACGAAGAAACATATTCATGCAAAAGATTTATATTTATTACCTAAAAAATAAAGTTAGCTGTTGCACGAGTAATACTAATGTTTATAACTCGAACCTACATTGGCATTGTCGTTGCTACTGTATTTTCTAATAAAGGGAACTCAAACCTTTCAAAAATATTTAGATGACAGGTTGAAATTATGGAGGTGAACACCGGTAGTTGAAATTATAGAGGTGGTACAATTTGGTTTCTTAAGGACTTTATTAGATTAGTTCTTAAGAATAAATAATTGATCTTTTATTCTTCAGTTTAAAGTCAAACTGGGTCCAGCTCTGCTCGTTGATCCTCGTTCATTTATTGCTGGTAACTCGTCAATTCCATCCTTGCCAATTTAGAGATCTTAAAAGCAGATCAATACAATAATTTAGTTTACTATTTGAATGAGAGACTTGCTCTGATCAACTGAATGATGGAGAAAGATCTTGGTTTGAAATGTTATAGATTGTAGCTGGGTACCTGGGATTTTTCCAATAAGAGAAATGTTCAGCACATAAAACTAGCCATTGCCAATTCCTTGAAAATTATCCAAGGATTTGATGATAATTGGAATCGGTAAACAAGAAAATGTACATGAAGAAACTGGATAGTAATGCTCGGCTGAAGGTCGATTCACAAATTTTGTCCTAGGCACATGCGTGGCGTCTGAACTGGAGAACTCAAGAAAGAATAGTCCGAAACCCATTTTATTTCTTTTCTTTTTCCATATGAACTGGAGCAAAATTACTCAGTTCTTCCAGTTCAGGGAGCTTTGCTTATTTCGCTAATTTATCAAAAAGCTGGTTTATCAATAATAAGATGCTACAATACAAATAACAGTGTCATTTAAATAGAAATCTCATAAAACGAAAATAGACGGAATCAAGCTAAACAATTTTAATGCTGCACTTACGAGAGCAAAGTGAACCCAGGAGCCAGCGTTCATGAATGCAGGCTGCAGCAAGTGTTTCTACACTAAAGAAAGGCCACATACTACAATCACCAGGTAAAAACTGCAATCAATGAATACAGCACGAACCGTCTGATGCAAAACCAAACCGAATTCCAACAACTTAATGGCTGATCCCCAATTATGCCCATCTTCCTGAAATCTTTGTTCCTCATCTTGTTCCGCCTTATCAGAACCTCGTTGCACATAGAGTGCCAGTCGAGCAGCTACTATCATCAAATCAGTCAGCAAAACTACATAAAGAGGTCTCCAAGCAATAAGGCTCTTCGACTTCACCACTTTACAGGGAAAATTAACATGCGATAGAACTACCAAAATTGCTATCACAATAGAACAGAAAACTCGTGTATTCTCCGAGGTGATGATGCAGGAATTTATTTCTCTTGGAGTTCTTGAACTGAAAAGGTTGCCAAATGGTTTTTGAAATGGCTTTGCATTTGCATCATATGAAGCCTTGGAGACTGTTGTAGCCACAAGTGATGATTCTACTTCATTTCCAGGTTTAGCAGCAGAAAGTGGTGTGAGGACTGATTTTACCTCGGATTGCTCCACTTCAGCAACTTTGGCTTCAAATTTAGTTACTTTTACTTGAGAATCGCCATCATCAAAGATATCGTGTCTCGACTGTATATTAGATGTGTCATCACCACCTTCAAGATCAATGTTTATAATCAGATAAACAATGACAATGTGACAAGATAAATTTCTTTAACCTTGTTTAGTAATAAGCTGTACTGTAACGTGCTGTACAGTACTAGAAAGTAATAAACAAGAACATAAAAAACTAAAATCCTGTTCGAGGGAAGGTCCTACTCTGTTAAGTAATCAGCACTAGGTAACAAAGATAGCTTAAAGGAACAATGCATCCTGTGGTAGTTGACAATTTTTGTATTTGAATTTGATCTCGAATGAAGTTCAATAATCCATCAACTTCCACTTGAAATTTAAGATGCAGTTTCAGTTTCAATCAAGAAAAGAACAAAGTTTCTCAATACATTCTCCACCGAATTTTAATTTTAGTTCCACAAATCACAATTTAGCTCCACGCCCACCAATAAATATAAATCAAGCAGGTTCTTCTAAAAGAAGTAAAGTTTTCAATCAAATCCTGAATGAAATCTGCATTAAAGTACAAGAATATTACCTCATTTTAATTCCATGATAATGATTAATAGGAAATTTCATAATTTCTCGATTCCATTACGCAAACAATCATAATTCACACCCGGAATAAATTGAAGCATATCTCACATAAATCCACGCAGAGAATGAAATAAAAGCATAGAATTTGAACGGAGCATACCATGACGATGATCTGGAAAGAAAACAGTATTGTTTATTCCGGAATCTGACTCAGAGTATGCGTGTCCACGATAATTATCACCAGGTGTAGAATATGTGGATGACTGGCCGGAAAATGAATTCGGGGAAGACAGCGGGTCCATGCTGTGAACCCGGCCCGAGATGAGTGCCAAACGATCGGACCCTCCCTCCATTATCCTCTTCCTCCTCGCTTCTCTCTCCATTTCTCTGTGTGTAATTTCTCTTTGAGATCAATGATTACAATTCTTTCTTCCAATCTATGTAATTTTTTACGTGTACGTTTGGTTGAGCTTAAAAACGGCCAATCAAATGTAATAAATTAATATATTCAGACGTAAAAATTAAATAAATCGCTTACACCGATTTAAGGCGGAGTCAAGGTGTAAGTGTACGGGGATTAGTATAAATACATTGGGGGATAGTGACATATTATATTGAGTGAAAATTTATTTCAGCAAGGAATAGTATACAAAATCTCTCAATTGAAATTGTGTTTGAATAAGTAACTTCTAAATTACATGATTTTAATTAGTATCATATTATTACAATGAAAAGATAATTTAATCAAACGTAATTTTAGTCATGACAATGAGGCTTTTGCGATATACTTATTAATAACTTGTTGGAGTATATAATCCATTGAATATTGGCATCCATAGCAGTCGAACGTCGGTATCACTAATAGGGCTAAAATGATGAATCGCGAATTAGAATTGAAGTTGATCAACTTGATTATAATATTTTAAAGTCGAATGACTCGATTGAAATTGGTCTTAGTTCTATGTTTTAATTTCTTCCGAGTTGGTGGATCAATCACTTTGGCGGGCTTGCAACCTTAGCGTAGAGAGTTCGATTCCTGGTGGGAACCTGTGATCCAACAAAGTGGGCAATTTGTTGGTGGATTAATCACTATGGAGGAAAGCTCTCTTGAGGCTAGGAGTAAAAATCGGGTGGGAACCTGTGATCCAACAAAGGCACATCCTGCGGTTTACCTCCACTAGTCACTGAGGGGTCGGTGGCTAGGGATCCAGGATTTAGTCTGGCAAAGTTGGGACACCTGGGTACCAAAAAAAAAAAAAAAAAGAATTGAAATATTGAAAAAATTACTACTTATGTCATTATTTTTTAGCAAAATCGAGGAAAATCGATTATATTTCGAGTTATTTGCATTTACCACTCTTTTAAAGTTTTTCCAATGTATGAAAAGTAAATTCTTTAATACTAAGAAAAATAGCCCTTTTTATGCCTCTTGTAAAAATAATTAGAATTTTATTCTAAATTCAAGTTTGCAATAGGTCGTTACATCCTTCAAATATTCTATTACTAACTGAACGTAGTGAGCTTCAAAAAAATATTTTTATTGATTATGAACCATAAAATACATCGAGTTAAATGTTTGAACACGTCGAACTTTGGGTACGGTTACGTTTTACCCACTGTACTTTAACTTACACTCCTTTACTTACTGAACTTTATGAAGTTACACAACATTACACATCAGGCAAATTCTATTTATAACGCTTGCCTACGTGGATGATAGAACGCACATGTGAAAATTAAATCTCTCCAAAAAAGAGAGAGAGAGAGAAATCAAATGCCGCATCATATTAAAGTGCAACTCTCCAAACACGGCTCACCGCTAACCAGAATGAAAACGTGAAATCGAACCCTATTCCTTGAAAACTGAAAACTGAAAACTGAAAGCCCAGATTGTCTATAAACCTTACGTCTCGATTAATACTTCTCTTGTTGAAACTAAATATATGATAACATGCTAAACAATGGATAATAATTCTTAATATGTTGTTGAAATTAAAATTTAACTTTGACTGAATAATAAAAGTTTGATCATGTATGCTATGAATCCCTTTGACATGTCTTTTGAAAAGTCAAAACGAATTTTTGAAATTCAAAAACAATTTTTGAAATCGTTTGGTTAATTTTATGAAAATATTTTCTAATTAGAAGAGTATTTAGAGGAAGTTAATCTAATGTAACTTGCTTTAAAAATCATTTCTGAAATAGGAAATTCTTTCAATAATTAATTTTCAAACAAAAATAAAAGTAGCTTCTTTCAAAACTACTTCTACAAGAAGCAAAAATCATGCCAAACAGATCCTATGCATGCAAATGAACTATTCAATTCCATCGCCCAAAATAATAATGCAACTTGCGCCCCCAGGGCATATCTCCCAGTGGTAAAGGGGAGGGCGGATAGGGCTCAGCGCGGCAGTGTGCAGAGTTCGATTCCCCGCAAGGTGGAATTGACTTTGTTGCAAGCGGGAGTTACCATATGGGTTAATAGCCTTGGCCTCTCCATGTGCTCTTCACCCTGACTCCTGGGAGGCACATCCTGCGATTTACCTCCTCCACAATGGTCCAGGACATGGTCGGTGGGGACCCCTAAGGTTGGGGTTCAACCTTTAATAATGCAACTTGCTCTTAAATGAAATTTACTCATCTTTTTACTGCAAAGTAAATTTTACACCTAAATCTAGCCACTGACATTAAAATACTCGTTTAAAGAGCTGTTCAATTATTTTGCCTGCTGAAATAATAGGCACTTTTTAATAAATAAATAAAAATTCTGACATATATGCAGTGAATTCTCCATTAAATACTTGCCATCTATATTTATTAATTGAAGAAAATAAACGCCTAAGATTAATTCCTATTGAAGGTTACATTTTGAGTTCGTTTTCCGTATAAAAGGCACACCACATTCTTGCAAATTCTCATCCAAAAAACCCTATATATGTTTTTTTTTAAAAATAAAATAAATGCCTAAGATAAAAATTCTAAGGTATTTCTCAAAAATCAAATTTTCAAATACACAAATTCATTTGCCATCCAAAACGCTCTCAGGTCGATCTTTGAGCAGTTGCAAGCGCACAAAAACCCCTTCATTTGCCCTTGATGGCAAAGAAAATGAACCAAAATTATCAGATGTTGATCGATTTTTGTACGAAAATTTCAGATCATTATATGAAAAGGAATACAATGAAAATAAGTCGAAAAAGGAGCTTGAAGGTTATATCAGCGAAGAAAAATCTGAAGGGGTTTTTTGGGATCCTCTTCCTGAAAATCTTGGCGGTTCTGATAGATTTTTTGTCACTCCAGCTTCATCAAGTTCATTAATGGAGGAGACGATTTCCAAGGATACAAGTGAAGATGCAGCAAAATTATCAGATGTTGATCGGTTTTTGTATGGAAAACTCGGATCATTACCTGAAACGGAACACGAGGAATATAAGTCGAAAAAAAGGTTTGATAAAAATAACGAAGAAAAACCAGTTGAAGTTTTTTTGGAGTCTCCTAGGTTTTCAGAGGATACGGGGGAAGAAGCTAATGAAGATCAAACAAATATTGGTCCTGATGATTTTATTAGAGTTTCGACTTATTCTCTGAATCCATATGACGATTTTAGGCAATCCATGCATGAAATGATCCAAGCAAGATTGGAAAATAATGGAAAAGTTGATTGGGAATTCATGGAGAAGCTCTTGTTTTGCTATTTGAATGTTAATGCCAAGAAGTCATATAGGTACATATCAAATGCATTTGCTGATCTTGTACTTGATTTGCGCCAAAATTGTAGTGGACTTCTCGTGAATGCCAATACCCAACTCATAGGTTGTAATAATTTTTGTTACGAACAAAATCACTTATAACAATATTGGATAATATTAAATTAATTAGCTTAAATTTTATATAGAGATGTCATCGAAGTTTCATACAATTATAGACTCTCTCTCTCTCTCTCTCTCTCTCTCTCTCTCTCTCTCTCTCTCTCA